TTCCATGTATGAACAAATAATTCTTGTTTAATATTATCTCCACAGTAATAATCACGACCTGGCGGAATGAGTCAAAAACCTTAGCTCCTATTATTTTGTTGAACATATACACCGCAAACTTCTTTTCCATGCAGCCTTGAACTCCAATCAAGCTTAGTGAAATGATATATCCTGTATTATTTTTGTTTAGCCAAGTTTCATCAAAGGCTTTCTTTCTTTGGTAGGTGTCTGGCAAAACTGGCAAAGCTTGGTATTTAATGGAGGTGTAGGCAAATACAAACAATAAAACGATAAACGAAATCTCCTGACACACAACTTGCTGTGAGTGGAGAGAAAAATTCTATCACACTTTTTAGTTTAAATGTTGGGTGGCCATATATCGGGTTTTCTTTTAGCAACTATTCAAGATGGAGTTGTTTAAAGCTGCAAAATTTATATTGCATATTGGTTATATAATGCATAACCTATGCGGCAGTCTCACCATGTGCGTGTAAGTTTTAAAGATCTCCCGATATTAGACCTTATTCTCGAATTTTTTAATGGGGGTGGGGATGTAGCTGGGGAAGAAAGTGTTCACCCCGATCATTTGTTTCCTTAATTATATCAGCAGCTAATCACAATGTTGGAAACAAATACTAATAAATGGTGAAATATCCTGAGCTTTTGTAGGGCTTTCCTGTTGTTAAATTCTTTATGATTATCGTATAAATAAATAAATAAATGCCAATTCAATTATATGATATAAAAGCTAAACAGGTCGACCAATTAGTGAATACATTGATTCAAGCCTTGATCAATATTAAAGATGACACGGGTAAATTTTTGATGAAAATTCCTGACGGGCGTATTATTGATACAAAGAGTTGGATCACATGCTGGGAATGGACACATGGTATTGGTCTTTATGGAATGTGGCATTACTATGAGCTCAATAATAATCCTATAATTCTAAAGCACATAGAAGATTGGTTTGAAGTGCAGATGTTTGGTCCTAATGGGACAACTTCGAAGAATATCAATACAATGGCGGTCTTTTTACCTTTATCGTATATATATGAAAGACACGGAAATGAGAAATATTTACCCTATTTAGATGCTTGGGGTGAATGGGCAATGTTTGATTTACAAAGAACAAAGTGCGGTGGGTTTCAGCATGCAACATACCTTACTGAGAATTATGAGCAGATGTGGGATGATACTTTGATGATGACCGTAATGCCTCTTGCAAAAATAGGTTTATTATTAGGAAGACCTCATTACGTCGAGGAGGCTAAAAAACAAGTTCTCCTTCATATTAAATACCTCTCTGACAGGAAAACCGGTTTATGGTTTCATGGTTACACGTTTGATGGTAACCACAATTTTGCGAATGCATTGTGGGCAAGGGGAAACTCTTGGATAACAATTGTAATTCCTGAGTTTATCGAATTATTAAAATTGAAACCCGGCGACCATTTATTGGATGTTTTAGTTGAAACATTTCAAGCCCAGGTTTCCAAACTATCTGAAGTTCAAGACGAGCATTCTGGATTATGGCATACATTGTTGGATGATCCTTCTTCTTATCTAGAATCCTCTGCTACTGCTGGGTTTGCGTATGGGATTTTAAAAGGTATCAGGATGAGAATTATTGATTCTAGATATAAAGGAATTGCTGTAAAGGCTGTTAAGGCTGTAATTGGACAGATCGATAAGAAAGGTGAGTTGTTGAATACCTCATTCGGAACTGGAATGGGTGGTACTTTACAGTTCTATAAAGATATTTCTTTGACTTCAATGCCATATGGCCAAGCTTTGGCAATCATGGCCTTAGTTGAATTTTCTCGACTCTATTTGTAATGGTGGCTTTGTTTTTTTTTTGTATATTAAAGACGAAATTTGAAAGGTCGCTAATTTCTAATTTTAGCAATGAAATACAACTAGGTAAAGCATTTTCTCTTTTATCTTTAAGCCACATAGTTATGAATAAAAATTATCAGTTCCATCTATTTCATTTAGCGGTCCTCGGGAAAAATCAATAATTTATACGTAATACTTCATCTATTCTTCAACATGCTTGTTCGTGATTAATAGACTACTGTACTCAATACAAATAAGTAACTAATTGATTTTTGAAAAATTTAATTTGAAATATATTCTTTCCATAAACTATACACACGCTTAATACGCATAACGGAAGCTAACATTCTCTACGTCTGTTAAATCTTCGAAAGCGTGCTTCAATTCTTTATCCGCGACCGCTTTACCTCCTTCAATTAGTTTGTCTTTTCTCGAGTTTTCCTTCATCAACCATAACCTCATACAGACTAATAAAATTATTAATGCAGCATAACATCCCATGTGAGTTGCGAATGCAGTCAAATACCTTGGTGAATCCTGAGCTCTGAAAACTTGAGGGCCAAGGCAATTACCAACAGCCCATCCAACAAAGTTTAAAGCAGTACAGAAAGATTTTTTAGACTGACCTGCAATATTTCTTGAAAGCAAAGAAAGTCCCAAGTTCGCAACACCCCAAAATGACAAAGTTAAGTAATAACAAAAGAGTAACACCCCTCTTCTAAGTTTATATTCGTAGGAATTTGTATCCAATCCAGTATATGTTACTGTCATCAACACAACAGTTCCGACAATCGAAGGAACCACATAGCAAATCATAAAAATAATATTTTGGTTGAACTTAGAAGATAACCATGCGGACGTTAATAATAAGATGATCAAGTAGGCACCTAACACCATAGCTAATAATTGAGTTTGCAAAACAGAAAAACCAAAAGACAGGATAATTATGTTAGCGAATGCACCAAGTCCTGATGTAGGTAATGAGGTTAAAAATTGAATAAAAAAATAACAATAAGTTTGAGGATCACGCAAAGCTTCATAAACTTGATAATATTTGAATTCCTTGTTCTGGATTCCAGTCTGGTTAGAGCGTACCCTTTCTACCATCAATTTTTTATCATCTTCAGAAAAACATTTTGCATGCATAGGAGAGTCTGGAGTCCACCATAAAACGAAAATTCCCCATACTACAGTAATACATCCATAGGTCAAGAATAATATTTCCCAATTTCTTAAAGCGGCTCCTTCAATCAAAGAAAAGCAATACGATAATAATCCACCAACAATTTGTTGCCCACCATTCATCATATACCATAGAGCAATAATTTGAGCTTGCTCTGATCTTTTATACCACATCGCTGACATTATAATAAAGCATGGCTGACAGCAGCATTCAAAAAAACCTAGTAAAGTTCTTACAACAACCAAAATTGCAAAGTTCTTGCCCAATGCATGGCAACCTAAGACAATTCCCCAGGCTATAATATTGAAGGCCAAATATTTAGCGATTGGTAGCTTTTGGATTATCCAATTAGTTGGCCATTCCCAAAATAGTACTGCTAAATAAGTACATGTCGTTAACCACGAATACTGTTGGCCTACCAAACCAGCATCCTCTCTGATACCCATTATAGATGCAAACGAAATGGTACCTTTATCTAATGCCTGCAAAAAATAAGTAACTATCATACATGGTAAGATTCTCTTATTTATCTGACGTCTTAACCTCCTATTGGTTGCATCATCAATTTCAATAGCACTTTCTTCCATGTAGGCTAGGATATCTTTATCGATTCTTTCCTCCTCTATATTGTCACCATCCCTCAAAAGCAAATCGTTATTTTTTCCTGGTAAACCAGTCTCTATTGTCTCCACATGCTCAATTATGCCTTTAATTTTACGCTCATCCAAATACGAAATTACCGACGAAGAAATATTAGAACTGCTATTATCGTTTTTGGATACTTTCAATGATACCATTTCGTTAATGAGGACAATATTTTTGTCGTTTGAAAATGAAGAAGGAAACCTCTGTTCTTTTAAATCAAATCTACATTGAGCACTTAACAGTATAAAGTGTGGGGTACATAATTATAACTATAAAATTAAAAACTTTAATCAGTAAATGTGACTATGACTACTCACATATTGACTTAAATTGATACCCTGTATTGAAAATTGAGTTAAATTCAAATCAAAGAATTAGATGTTTTTGACTTCACGGCTCAAAAAAGGACCGAAATTATCTTTCTGCTAGATCCCCTCCCCCCATCAATTATTTCTCCATTACCCCGTATGCCTTGGAGAATTCTGAACTCAGAGCTGTAACCAAATACTTTCCTTCTTTAGTGTGTGATATAGCTAGAAACTTTAAATAGAATTAACTTGGCATCTACTAAAGACTCTATTGGAAATTGCCTTAATTCATCAAAATTTGCAGCCAGATCCAAAAGAAATTACAGCTCAACATAATAAAGCAGATATTAAAGTTATTAGGTCTTATAATTAATATAAATTTATCATCAAGAGAAGAAAAAATTATTAAATTAATAAGCATAGTTTAAAAACTAAAAAACTAATAATTTGTAAAATCAAGTACTAATTATTTACTAATGATAAATATGCATTACTTTTCCTAATTGTATATTTTCGCTGTATTTCATCTCTCTAACTTTATTTCTAATCACCTTTATGCTTTTATAAAATAAAATCAAGTTTATTCTATTGTATGTATAATATCAATTATGAGAATAATTGGGATAATATGAATATATTTTATATATTACAAAATATATGTAATTATAAACAAATCCTAAAAATGAGAAAGAGTTTTCTATCCTTAAAATCCGAAATATTCAAGAAATTCAAATGCTCAGATTTTTGTAGCTCTTTTGAAAGCAATATGAGATTCAATCTACAGGACATGGCACAATATAAAAACGCCATAGAACATTGATATTTATTTGATATAATATTATTGAATAATTTTATGTTCTCCAACTAAAATATAGATTCTGAGGTAAAAATCGCATGACGAAAAAACGTATCAATTCGAAATATGGAATGCAATCCTCAAAACGATCAAGATTTACTTAAGCTGGAATAATCTTATGAGTTAATTTTTTGTATTGAATAATAAAACTCACCTAATTAACTCCCATTTCTATTCGATGTATCAAAACAATACAATTTCATTGTTTAATTTTACAGCATTGAATCGACAACTATGCTTTTAATCGCTTCAAGATTAAATAATATAGACATAAGATCATGGGAATGCTTGTTAAGTCACCGAATTCATCTCTATTTGTCAAAAGAACTGAGCGCGGGCATTCATTTAGAATAATTTATAATAAATAAGATTAGACAAATTTGTTCTCTTCCTCATGAGCTAAATAAGAAAATCTTGTTGAGCGAGTCAACAACCTGACTAGCCGGAAGAACTGGAATTTATATATCTCAATAGGAGAACTCGCATAAACTTATCCGGAAGCAGTTTGGTTAATATTCGAAATAGGTAAGCTATTGTTAAAATTAGGATATTGACACGATTTCCCCACATTTATTTAACATTTTTTCCGAACTGTTGCATTTTGGGGTAATCTAAACAGGTATTTTGTCCGAGCTTAATAATATGTGTAATTATCCGTACAGACAATTATACCAATTACAGCCATGGACACAATATAAAATCAATTAGAGTCAAAAGAAGTGGAGTTGAAAGTTCGATGGTATAAACATGAATAGAAGCTGCATAAAATTACAATAAGATAAACTTTATACAATAGTTTCGATACTTTTAGGCTGTATTGTTAGTGTTATAATTCAATGACAAAATTTTAACAGTTTCATCTTATAATGTAACGTCATGGCTTGTTTCACGTAATATGAACTGATATTTTATAGTTTACATTTCAAATTTGGAAGTCTTTCCGAAACTATAGTAGTTGGCAATCAAGATTTCTCGAATATAAATATTCAAAGATTTCGCTTCAGTATGAGTTGACAATTCATAAATGAGAAGACAGTTTAGTAATGAAATATATCGATACAACTTTGCTAGTAGCTTTTTTAGCTCTTTCTAATGCAGCACCTTCAAAAAAGCGTAATGAAACAATTAATTCTAATGAAAGCTTCTTGATTTTTGGAACTTCTAATCAATATTCAACAAGTCCTCCATTTTACCCATCACCATTGGGGGGAAGAATTGAAAATGTTTGGCTGGATGCATATAGTCAAGCCAGAGAAATTGTTGAAACGCTTAATATTGCGGAGAAAGTTAATATTACTACTGGAATTGGGATGGCTTGGAGTCCCTGTGGTGGCAGTACAGGCTCACTTAATGGAAAAGGCCTTGAATCCAACATAGGTTTCTGTGGAAATGATGGACCATTAGGTTTGCGAGGAGCTGATTTTGACTCAGCTTATCCTGCCGCTTTGACTGTTGCATCCTCATTCAATAGACAATTAATATATGACCGTGCTGATGCAATTGGTTATGAGTTCAAGTCAAAAGGCGTTGATTTTTTTTTGGGGCCTGTTAGTGGCCCAATTGGCTACAAAGCGCTTGCTGGTAGAGGCTGGGAAGGCTTTGGTGCCGATCCATATTTGCAGGGTGAAGCAATGAAGTATACAGTCGAAGGAATTCAGAAAAATAAAGTAGTTGCGGTCAGTAAGCATTTTATTGGAAATGAACAAGACACTTATCGCTTTGAATTAGAAGTGAAAGAAGATGGATCCAATACTACTGCTGCCATTTCATCTAACATTGATGATAGAAGTATGCATGAAATCTATCTTTGGCCATTTGCTGAGGCAGTTAAGGCAGGTACAGGCTCTATTATGTGCTCATATAATAGAATTAATGGTTCTGCTGGTTGTGCCAACTCGTATACATTAAACAATTTATTAAAAACAGAGTTGGGATTCCAAGGTTTTGTTATGAGTGATTGGTACGCAACTAAAAGCGGTGTTTCCTCTGCTTTGTCTGGGTTGGATATGAATATGCCAGGAGATAATATGATAAGTGAAGGCTCTTATTTTGGTGGTAATCTTACTCAAGCTGTTTTAAATGGAACTATTCCCGAAGATAAATTAAATGACATGGCCACAAGGATATTAGCTTCATATTTCGTTGTTGATGGTAACCACACCGGTCCAAATTTTCAGATCAATAGCAAGAAAACTTATGACCATGAATATATCAATTCGAAGACTGGCAAGGGTTTTGGAGAAATTGTAATGGTTAATGAGCATGTAGATCCAAGAAATGATTTCACTGACAAAATTGCTTATCAAAGTGCAGTGGAAGGAATTGTTTTGCTTAAAAATGAACACAATATTTTACCCTTGAAAAACTATACGAAGATTGCAATTTTGGGTGAGGCTGCCGGCATTTCACCTGATGGATTTAATTGCAAGTTTGGTAGTTGCATAGGTGGTGCACCACCTTCAGGATATGGTTCCGGTGCTGGTTCACCTTCTAAATTTATTTCGCCGGTCGACGCTCTTGGGGAAAGATGTCGAAACGAAAATATTCAATATGACTTTGTAAGCTCAAGTTGGGATTTAAGTAATTCTATGGACAGATCTGAGCTGGCTCAAGCCGTTATTGTTTTTGCAGCTTCCATTGCAGGAGAAGCGGTTGCTATAGTTGACGGTAATAATGGTGATAGAAATAATGCTTCCTTGTGGTACAATGCAGATGAATTAATTAAGAATACCACTGCTTATAACAACAACACAATTGTAGTTGTTACTACTCCAGGGTCTGTTAATATTGAATCATTTGTTGAAAATGAAAATGTCACAGCTATATTAATGTCTTCGTACCTAGGCCAAGAAGCTGGGTCAGCAATTACAAATGTATTATTTGGTGATTATAACCCATCTGGTAGAATTCCATTCACCATTGCAAAAGATGATCTGGAATATGTTCCAGTTATATATAATACTACTTTGGATGAACCTCAAGATGAGTTTACTCGCTCAATATTTTTAGATTATAGGTACTACGACTATTACAATATTACCCCAAGATATGAATTTGGTTATGGTCTTTCCTATTCGAATTTTACCTTTGGTAACCTTACAATTTCAGAAGTAAATGTACCTTCCAAGGATTTACTTTCTGAATCACCTTATTTGCCAGCTTACAATTTTTCTTCTGATAACTTAGATCCAAATGAGTATACGTTCCCAGAAGGATTCAATAAACTTGAAGGATATATTTATCCATACATTGACAGTATTGAAGTCAATACCACCAAAGAATTTAGCTATCCAGAAGGATATTCTACTGATCAATTAGCAAGTCCACCAATTGCAGGAGGTAGTTTAGGTGGTAATAAGCAATTATGGGATGTTGCATATCATGTCGAAGCTGAATTAACAAACAATGGTCCTTATGATGGTTCTTATGTTGCACAGTTGTACGTGGGAATCCCATCTACCGATAAGTTCCCAAACGCCCCTGTTCAATTAAGAGGATTCGATAAACTTTCGTTAAATGCCAAAGAAAGTGGAACGGTTGAATTTGATATTACAAGGAAAGATTTATCTGTTTGGGATGTAATGACTCAGTCTTGGATCGTGCAGCATGGATCATATAACCTTTATGTGGGATCTAGCTCAAGAAATCTAGAATTGGTTGACACTATTAATATTTCTTGAATATAACCTAATTCATTATTAAGCAAGTATCCTTATTTATGTATGCATTCTAGTATAATTGGTATACGTAAATCAGATTGAATCAAAACAAACTTTAGTATAAGAAATGAATAATTTAATACTGCTTTAAATCTATTGTAATTTATTCTTAATACGAGATTAAAAAATTTCTGCGATTATTAACTATAGAGACATCTCGTAAATGTACCCCACTCGAGCATCCAAGATCTTTTTCTGAAAAGTTTTTTTGCTACACTCATAATGTTAATTTATAAATCATTTCATGAATCATCTATTTAAAATAATGTGAGAGTATGATTCTATATGATCAATTATTGGGGTTATTCAAAAGATCACAATATAACTTGGACCGAAACTTGGATTATATTTTAGAGGATGTCAGACGCTATACACCATCGGAGGCATTGATAATGAGAGCGTTTTCTATTGCTGTATCAAGTGTTTCAGTATTATCTGGTATGATAGCGATATACTTCTTTTTGGCTATAGATCATAAGAAAATTTTATACAGACATCGACTAATTATGCTTTTAATTTCATTTGATTTATTTAAGTCGATATTTTTGCTAATATTTCCGGCAGCTGTTGTATCTAATCCATCCGCTTATTTTAATGTTCAATTTTGTAATATGGCAGGATTTTTTACGTCATTTGCAATGGAAGGAGCGGACTTTACAATCATGATTTTTGCTATTCATACTGTAATAATAGTTACCTGGCCGAATTTTAAATCTAAACATGGTTACAATCACGAGGGAGGATTATACAGATATCGATATTTGGTATATACAATTCTATTCTGTGCACCTTTAATATTAGCATCGCTAGCATTCGTCAACAATAAAGGTTATGTTCAATTAACAAACGTGTGCTATTTGCCTGCTAGACCAATCTGGTATCGATTAGTATTAAGTTGGATTCCACGTTATATCATTATAATTTCCATTTTTATTATGTATGGATATATCTATCATCGTGTCAAGAAGCAATACAAAGAAATCCAGATTGCAACGAATGATTTATATGGAATTAAAAGGAGCAAGAAAACAATTTTGTCGAGGATCTATAAGGCTCTGGGTTTTATTTTGTTTACAAACGTTACTTTGTCGGATGATTCTCATAATGAGGAGGAATTGACTATGGAAGAAACAACCAGCACTCGATTATCAGGACCACAATCTTATACCAAACAAGAAGTTAATGTCTTTAAAAAAGCAACTGGGATTCGACTTAATGATGAATCAAATCACGAACTCAAAAAGCGTCGAGAACAGGTTGAATGGCAAATGAAAGCTATATTCATTTATCCAGTGGCATATGTATTAATTTGGATGTGGCCAATGATCGCCCATGGTATTGATTATAGACATGGGCTTACAAAACCCCCGATTGTCTGGCTAAATGTGCTTGGTGCTATTTTGCAGTCATCTAATTGTGCTGTGGATGCTGCTATATTTCTATGGAGGGAAAAGCCTTGGAATATTACAACCCAAAAGCTAGGAAATACAATGACAGAAGAAATTGTATATCTGAAATGGAGAAAGAGAGTCGCATGTCTTCCTTTGTTTAGCCTTCCTGATACAACCGAGAGTGGAGCACGAAATTTAAATAATGGCTCGATTCTGAAAACTAATTTTACTGTTTGCTCAAGAGAAAGAGATGACAATCTTAATGAGTATCCTTATTCTTTACCAGGATTGCAAGCTTCCAAAGATTTTTCTCATGATTCAAATACCGATTTTATAAAGTCAACTAAGAGAATGCTTTCTTGTTATAAATATAAATTATTTTCGAGCGGATCTGGGACAAATGATAAAGAAGCAAAGGAAATAGACGTTTCAAATGAGGATAAGTTTAATAAAAAGCGTTTGAAAGAAAAGTACTCGCTGATCCAACCTGAGATTCAAGATTTTTGTATATCTAGGAGGCATTCAAGTACGGAATCAGGCATTGATAATGATAATATAAATCACGATAGTTTAATCAATCCAGGAAGGAGTAGTGATAACTACGATCTAAAGCATACTAGAAGAAGTTTTCATGATAAGAGTAGGGATATGGGTTTCTTTGAATTTTTACAGCAGTGATAAAAATACGCATTGATGATGATAATTACAAAGCTTTTTTATTCGAGTATTCTTTCCATTTAAAAGATTATTATTGGTTCAGACAATTTGGATTCGTTGTTTTTTAATTTAACACCTATAGTATTCCGAAAATATGGCTAAGTTTAAAGTTCAAGTACACTTTCGAAAAGGCCAAATAGGCTAAAATCGTGCATACTTATTTAGGAATTATCTTTACCGATATTGAAATTTAGTTACATGTTTCGTCTAGCTATCGATGTATTATATTAATATTGTAAAATGCCACCAATATGAAGTATTTCGCAAGAGAAACTGTTTCTTTAAGTTCGTAGAATTGTCAAGAAATATAACTTTTAATCAATTGCAGATATTAATAGACAAAATTTCAATAGAGTGTTATATCCCTGAAAAAATAACTTTTAGTCATCAGTTGCGAATATAGAATTTTTTTTGTTATCAAATATCTAGTACTAACCATTTATCTGGTGTTTGATAAAAACTCTCTCTTATATAAAATGAATAATGATTTTCTTAGGATTTATATAATTCTAATCTTTGATATGTGAAACGATTTTTTCACGTTTTACTAAGAAGACTCCACGCCAATATCTCATATTGAGGAGTGATTAGTGATTTAATTGTTACTAGGATCCAAATGATATTTTTTTACACTGAGGTCTAAGAAAGGTGCTCATCGCAATTAAAGTATTTTAATGAAGAAGCAAATAAACTTCAAGTCCGGAAGTTGCTTTACCAACACTGGTGGGATTGAAGAACAACGTAAATAACTTGAGGATCCTGGAAGGCTGTCAAATTTATTTATTAAAATATTATTATTGGACATATATGTAAAGATGAATATTACCAAGGATTTTAGGCATTTTTTGATATTATAAGGTTGGAAAAATTAAATTTGTACTTGGAGAGCCTAAATTATGGTATCCATTATGCTACCACTATCTACGTTTAACTTAATTCTAGTTATGCAAACCATTTTAAAGAATGTTAGTTTAAGCAAAGTGTATTCTTCTCAGAAAAAATTAGAAGACCAAAAACGAATTTTGTTCACTTCAAGGTCAATAATATTCGAAAAAGGATCTTCTTAGATACCGCTTAATAAATTTCAACTCTCTTGACTAACTAAGCTTATCCTTAATGGCTCCAAATGTTAGTCAATGGTAACCAAAATATAGTTACAGAATTAGCAAGCGGAATCTATAAAGCCCTTTTTATACAAGGAATGTGATCATTTAGGTATCTTGATTTGGCAAGACTTTATCGTCGATTGTGCGCAATATCCAGTGCGCTTTAGAACTTAATGAAAAATTCAAATTCGAAGCTTTTTATCATATAAAAATATTAATGAATCATTTCTTCGTTACCCTCTAAGTTGGGAATAATAAAGAATATTACGTAGCAGAGCAATTAGATTTATGTTGGTACAGAGAGCGTTTGTCTTGAGACTATTGTAAAACCACATCCCTTGCAAGAACAATTTATGAAATCGTCTTGCCAAAATTATTACAAGGATATACGAAAGATGCTTCTTATCATCTTTTCTCTCTATGGGTTGGAAGGATGAACCTATTATTTTTAGTCACATCATTTTTTTTTGGCTTCTATGATCCATTCCATGATGTCCTGCGTGAAAACCATTTATTTATAAGCTGCTAGCTTATTTAAATAGAGCTTTATCAGTCGTTCAAATTGTCGCAAAATATATCGCTTAGTTGAATATCCCTCACATCCAAAAATCTGGGCATTTAAAGATTACGAATAGGAAGAAATAAAATAGACTGAACAATAATTACCCCGATAAGTTGAGCGAAAAACGTAGCAACCAATAGAGCAGGAATTCAGAAAATAGCGGGGGGAACGAAAATTATATAGAATGCTCAAGCGAGAAATCAAAGATAATTGATATAAATAATGGCTAAAGCATTTTTTCTAATTTAATTTGAATTATTGAATAAACTATTCAAAATGACTGTTATTCAAACAGCTAAAGCTTTAAAACCAGCGTGGTGGAAGGAAACCACAGTCTACCAAATCTATCCATCTTCCTTCCAAGATTCTAATGGAGACGGAATTGGTGATCTTCCAGGTATTACTTCTCGTTTGGATTATATCAAGTCCATTGGTGTGGATGCAGTTTGGTTAAGCCCTTGTTTTGACTCTCCCCAGGTTGATATGGGTTATGATATTTCAGATTACAAAAATATTTACCCGGCTTACGGTACAATTGAAGATGCAGATGAATTAATCAAGAGTGTGCATGAACGAGGATTAAAGATTTTGATGGATCTTGTTGTTAATCATACGTCAGACCAGCATCCATGGTTTAAAGAATCCCGTTCTAGCACTGACAGCTTATACCGTGATTGGTATATCTGGCGTAAGCCAAGATACGACTCAGAAGGGAACAGACATTCCCCAAATAATTGGTCTGCCGCTTTCGGAGGAAGTGCATGGACATTCGATGAAGCAACACAAGAATACTATTTGCATCTTTTCGCAGTTGAGCAACCTGATTTGAATTGGGAGAACGAAAAAGTCCGTGCAGCAGTTCATGACATTATGAAATTCTGGTTAGAAAGGGGGGCTGATGGATTCCGTATGGATGTCATCAATTTCATTTCAAAGGATCAAAGATTCCCGGATGCAGAAGTTAAGAATATAAATGCTAGGTATCAAGATGGTTCTCTCTATTTTGCTTGTGGACCCAGATTACATGAATATTTACAAGAAATTGGTCAAATTCTTATCGAATACGATGCTTTTAGTGTTGGTGAAATGCCTGCTTGTAATGACCCGGAAGAAATTATTAAAGCTGTTAATATCGACCGTAAAGAATTGAATATGATCTTCAACTTTGAATTAGTAGATATTGATCATGGAAAGGGGGGAAAGTTCACTCCTGGAAGTTGGAAGCTTGCTGATGTTTATAAAATTATTAACAAGTGGCAAACATTCATGCAAGAGAATGGTGGCTGGAATGCTATTTACTTGGAAAACCATGATCAACCACGTTCTGTTTCTCGTTTTGCTAACGATAGCTCAGAATTCAGAAACATTAGTGCCAAAATGGTTAGTACATTCTTAGCTCTTCAACAAGGTACCTTGTTTGTTTACCAAGGACAAGAGCTAGGCCTCAGGAATGTTCCGATAACATGGAATATTTCCAAATACAGAGATCTTGAAACACTTAACCATTACAATGAATTAGAAGAGAATAATGCCTCTTCAGAAACTCTTGAAGCTACAGTGTTTGAATACCAAAAAAAATCAAGAGATAATGCTCGTTATCCTTTTCCATGGGACCGCTCAGTTAATGCTGGCTTTAGTACCTCATCCCCATGGATCGATATTAATGAGGATTACGTAGAATGGAATGCAGCGGAAGAGGATAAGGATCCGGATTCTGTTTTGAACTACTGGAGACGTGTTTTAAAAATAAGAAAAGAATGGAAAGATGCTTTTATATATGGTAAGTTTGAGATGGTTACAAATGTTGAAGAAGAGAGGGTGTTGGCATTTAAACGTACTAATAATGATATTAGTGCTCTAATCGTTTGCAACTTTTCGAATGATGCTTCCCCATGGACCATTCCAGAAGAGTTTGAAAACGGGAAAATTTTATTATCCAACTATAACAGATCTAAGATTACAGGAGTAAACGTATTAAAACCATACGAAGCTTTCTCATTACTTAAATAAACATTAAGAATTATTTTGAACGATTAGATAGACATTATATACACACATGGCAGAATAAAACAATTTTTGGTATTTTTGGTTGGTCTCTTTTCTACACCATCCAAAGAATCTAGGAAAGTTATATTATTTAACACTTAAAAAAGGAAAGATACTAGCACGATGAGAAGTAAATAAATTAGATTTATTTAATAAAATTGAGCCTTTTTTATCAATTCTAAAGAATCAACAATGAGTAAGATCCTTGCTAGTGGACTAAGATGTTTCAATGCGTTATGTTATTCAGGTAATTTCTAATAAGAAGCTTGCAACAAAATGAAAATAAGTAAAGCACATATATTGGTCTATTAAAATGAATTACAATAAGATGAAATCTTAATCAAAAATTAAAGCTCATTCATAAATTTAAAGAATTAAGAAACCTAAAGAATTATTATACTTTTTCAGATTTATGGACAAATTCATTCTGCTCAACTAGGTTCTTTATAGCATCATCTCCTAATTTAAGAATATAACTACCTGCATCAAAAACAGTCGGTTCTGTATGTTTGAAGTCTCTTGACTTAATATGTTGATGGAAAAGGTAATCAATATCTGCAAAAGTTTTACCTTTAGTTTCTGGTAACTCAAAATAGCACCAGAATGCACAAGCAATGGTGAATCCTGACCAGAAAAACCCCACTTTTGCCAGCCAGTTCCAAGCACCTGGATTAAGCATATAAGGCGTGAGCACACTTAATATAATACCAGAAACATTGTAGAGGTTTCTAGCAATAATAATACTCTTTGCACGAAGACGAACAGACGGTATTTCAGCAACTATGCAATAACATAATGGTCCAACAGTCAAGTCGTAGACCATAACGTAAATAATCAAAATGGTACCAACACCCCACATAGCATTTTTGTCTGTTGAACATCCAAGTCCTCCTATAACCATCAATAATACGGACAAAACACAAAGTCCTCCAAAATAAATTGTAAAGCGACCAAATCTCTTAGACAAAAACCAAGATCCAATAGTACCTACAATACCGAGAGCGAATTGAATAATTGTAAAAGTGAATGACATCTCTGTAGGCATACCTGCTTGAATATAGAAATAACTTGAA